ATGATCCAAAACATAAAGCAAAATCTACAATGGAATGGTTCACAAATAAACATATCCAGGTGTTAGAATGGCCAAGTCAAAGTCCAGACCTGAATCCAATCGAGAATCTGTGGAAAGAACTGAAAACTGCTGTTCACAAATGCTCTCCATCCAACCTCACTGAGCTCGAGCTGTTTTGCAAGGAGGCATGGGCAAAAATTTCAGTCTCTCGATGTGCAAAACTGATAGAGACATACCCCAAGCGATTTACAGCTGTAATCGCAGCAAAAGGTGGCGCTACAACGTATTAACTTAAGGGGGTTGAATAATTTTGCACGCCCAATTTTTCAGTTTTTTATTTGTTAAAAACGTTTGAAATATCCAATAAATTTCGTTCCACTTCATGATTGTGTCCCACTTGTTGTTGATTCTTCACAAAAAATTACAGTTTTATATCTTTATGTTTGAAGCCTGAAATGTGGCAAAAGGTTGCAAAGTTCAAGGGGGCCGAATACTTTTGCAAGGCACTGTATATACATTTTCAAAGAAATATTTAAAAATATTTGTATTTCAAGAGTGTTTTAATCTCTTGGTACAGCACTGTCAAATGCAGTACAGCAACAAACAGTTAATACTCCAGAAACATGGGGTAATCAAATTCAAAAAGTCAGAATGATCAGCCAAGAACAGACACAATATACTAAAACATATTTGCTTGGAATATATCCACACTCCAAAATAGTGAGGTCATAATTCATTTCTATTCAAAACATTTCAACAAGGCCCTCAAGATAAGATATCAGGTTGAACAGCACACTACATCATTAGCTCACATATATGGCGTCTCAGAGGACCTTTAATTTGAGTAGGAAAAGTCGGTTCCTTCGCTATGAGGTTAAAGAGTGGGTGACTAGTGAAGAAAATCACAGTGGAATGCATTAATTAGGTAGCTCTAAAAGCATATTTATCAAAGGCTAGGCCATATGGGAATTATCATAGAAAGGATCTAATCAAGACAGGACAGGTTAATAGAATAAAAGGCCTTGAACAGAATGTGTGCTTATACATAAAATATCAACCTGATCTCACATGTAAACGAATCATTAGGATGTAACAATTAAATGTTATGGTGAGCAGATCCTTAACTACTGAAATGACCTTCATGTGGTTTGACAGTGACAGTTGGCTTCTTATGTTTGCTCTAATTAAAATGTCAAAGCCGGCCCGATATTTGCTCAGAACAAAATGACTGATTATATGAACTTGAATGTAGTGATATCAAAAATAAATATTTCATGAGGTCCCTTAATCAGAAAACAGTACACTGGTCCATGGCTGAAATAAACAGCCCAGTGATTCGGCCTGAATCTTCTAAATGGTGTCAGTCACAAGTGAATATGGAGAGCTCCCGTCCCCTCTAGTGATGACTGATGGCTCTTCAGTAGCAACTGAGACAGACAGAGCTGATTGAGGGAGCTTATCTTTATGGTGGAGCCATGGAATTGTTAACAGGATGTGATGGCTTGCGTCCGCCGAGCTGAGCTGGGAAATAAAGCTGTTGGGCTCAGGTTGCCTTGCCATCATTCACAGAGGTAATGATCTCTGTCTGACTCAGAAGTAAGTAATAGTCTGCCCACAGGTGAGCAGTAAGAGCATGACGCAGCACAGCTGACAAAGTTGAACTTGGACAAATGAGCACTGGTCTGAAAGCTGCTAAAGGTTTTAGTATATGTAATAGGCAATTTAATAAAGATTAGAATATATTATAAAACCTAAGGTTCGTGAAGTTTAAGACATAGCACTTGATTTCTATTCATAGACATTTTTACATTTTCCTATTATTATCCAGGAATAATGTAGAGCTGTAAGCAATGTACCTACAAAACTAAAACACAGCTCTTAAGCAATCCTGTATGTCATTATACTATGGCTTTTTTTTTTGTGAACACAGAGAAGGGCTCACTGTTACCACATACTGCATAAGATGGTGGAGATAATAATCTTCTTGAGATCAAAACAGATGCAAGAGTATGTTGAGAGTAAGCAGTCAAAGACCTAGTTCCACTCAATTATCTTTAGCAGGATAATTAATCAATTCAGTATGCACAATCAAGTCTCAGAGGCATTTTTGAGATAATTGTTCTCATTGACTTGAATAATTATTTGTTTGCTGATTTAATTATTTTCACATTCGGAAAACAAATGAATGTGTGCTGGATAAACTCCACATATTTTTATTTTTGATGCTGCAAAAATCAAAAATGAACTGTAGATGAGAGTGGCCGATGGAAACTCTGATGTTATTATAAAAATTAATGTAGAATATTTCTTGAAAAATTAATTGCGTGAATATTCACAATATTTATGTTTTAAAAATGTTAATAAAACATGAATTGTTTCAGCCTTGTGGCATTGATACAAACTACAGTGAAGGCTAAAATTGCTTAGCTTTGAGGTTACCCTTGGGTTACAAACACAACATCCTCATATAATGACTGGTATGTTGAAAACAATCACTGGAGTCCGCAGTTCACACCATTATGAGTATGAATCAGGCCATTTTAATGGCAATCACTACTATTTATCATGCCACTTTAAATGGTTTGCTCATTTGTTTCCATTAAATATTTCATCTTTCCTTAAATATTCATTCAATATCCTCCTTAAATTTTTTACCAGTCTCTTTGCAGTTGCAATCTTCTCACCTCCCTTTTAGGCTTTGCAATCATAAATAATTATTCATCTACTCCCAGAAAGAGATTGCATAAAACATGCACATGAATCCTTTTTGTCTTTTCTCATTAGTGATATACTTCAAGTAGCCTAAATACTTCCTGCTCCCCGACTCAAGGAAATTGGTTGGAGAACCTTCCAAATGATTTTCTGCTTCACAAATAGGTTTCAGCCTCCACGTCTGATACTAATGTTCAGGATGAAAGGAGGGGTCTGCTGCAACATCTTCACTGAGATCTGGACTTCTTGTATTACTTTTAAAAGGATGAACTGAAGAGAAAAAGAGAGAACATCATTTCAAAATTTATTGTTTAAACCAGCTGCAAGGCTACAGTGGACCTATAAGAGTAACAACAGCTGCTCAGTTGCACTTGATTGTCTTTTAAGGGAATTAACAGCACTGATCAGCATGAATGAAACATAAACATTAAAATATTTCACGACTAGACTAACTGACACTTTATTCTAATTTAAAAATTCAGAAATCCTTCTAATCAAAAGGATTCTAATCAAATGATGAAGTTTCCACTGTTATACAAAACTTTTAAAAAAAATCAGCATTGTGCCTTTAATATTTTCTTAGAAATATTTAGGATATATTTCCTCTGTCTGTGTTACATTCTTTAAGTCTTACACCCTAACCCAACAAATTTGTCTCGGCTAAACAAGCCACATTTGCTTAATTTGTTAGATAATTGCAACATGAGTCATTAGCAAATATCACCATGGTGGAAGATAGAAGGAAAGCATAAGCTCTCAATTTGACTGGATTATCTTTTTGTGATGAGGCCTAATGATCCAACAGAGTAAATAGCAATGTGTTAATTAGACATTACACTGAATGAGCTGCTGCGCACACAGGAGGTATTAACCAGGTGGCGTCATTATATTAGATCTATTGCTGTCTTTTCTTTTCTACCATAAGGTCGGTAGTAAAACAGCAGTTATAGCTAAACCCAGAGGAAACATTGCAGTGCATTTGTTGCATTTGACTTCCTTTAGATTGAATGTGAATGTAGCTGAAAGCTCTTAAAACTAAAGAGAGTGACATGCCTTCTTCCCTCCTGAAATGTTTATTGACAAGACAACACCTGACAAGAGGGGGTAGAGTAGATGTCTCCTAACTGGAAGGTCGGCAGTTCGATTCCTGTTCTCCCCAGTCTACATGTTGTAGCTGGCCAAGACACTGAATTCCAAGTTGCTCTTGATGGCCAGAGCAGCACGACCATCAGTGTGTGTGTGAGAGAGAGTTTGCACCACAGATGGCTACCTTGGTTCTGTACCGGAGACAAATTCCATGTGTGTGTAACATACTTGGCCAATAAAAGTGATTCAATTAATGAATTTGAGAATATCCTAACTTATAAAGAACACGCGACAACATGTCATTTGCTAAATTCAGATAAATAAGGGTTCCCTCTGGGAATGTAAGTTAAAAACTTTGTTTTGTAATTATAATTACACATTGCAAAATGCTCCTCATTCCATCTCAGACTTTGGTCCAGTTTGTTGTGTAGAGCAGTTCTTTTTTATCAGTCAAGAAGCCTCTGACTGTGGTGTTTAAGTTAGTATCTGTCTCCACCTAGTGGTATTGATTTGACACTGATGTTACATGTGCAGCACTAAGACAATATTGTCCTGCATTAATAAATGCTATATCAGAGCAAAGCCCTTCACTGGAAAAACTGGAGGACACGTCCTTATTGATCTCTTTCAGAAATAAAGAAAAATCTAACCAAAGTGATTAAGGTATGGGACACCAGCTTAATTTTTAATTTTACATTATTCATACAGAGTCATTAAATTGAAGTTGTATGTTAATACTGTAACTAGTCAGGGTGAAATAAAGTTAACTAGAGGTGTAAAATTGCACAAAATGAAAATATTCCAATACCTATATTCAAGTAAAATGTACTTAATTAGCTACTTGAGTAAATGTACTGTTACTCTCCGCCACTGTAATATAACAACTACTATTTGCACAAAGGAGCCCACAACTGATAATAGATATTGCTAATATTTATGTATGGAAAAATGTTTACAAATTAAAAATGACAATTGGACTTTTAAAGAAAAACTATTAATGCCCTTAACGCCCACAGGTTGAAAATCTCATTTGAATACAAAGCTGGTGCAGAGATAAGACAAAGTTAAAATCCTATATAGTCCCCCTGCCGGCAGGGGGCAGTGAAAACTTGCTCGAACAGTAACGGAACAACCAAACCCGACAGGGATGCCAGGTTTGCTATTTTTCCTACATAGCCGTGTGTAACATTAGAATCATATCAATCAAAATAGAAGCCTCAGATTGTAATCGTATATCTTTTTAAACAGCTGGAAGGCAGTGGCATCAATTTTTATCGTTTCTACATGAGCTATTGGAAAGAAGTGCAATTTTGGCATACAGAACATTTTGCAGCGCAAAATGAGGCATTACAGTGGTGAAATGATGCGCCAAAATAGCAATGCACTGTAATTTTGTTTGCTTTATGCTTGAGAGAGAGGAAGCGAGTTGAGATACGAGCTTGTAGGAAGCGCAACTGGCAACTCCACAGAACGCCGGCTACCCGCTAGCTGGAAAAGTGCCCGTTAGCAAGCAACTGTTGTCTGCTGTTACTTTGTAGAGATTGATAGCGGAAGAACCGGTTTGGTAAACGCACAGGATACATACTTTACATTTTGTTACAATCATGAAACGGTTGTTCTAAAGTTGTGACGTAGTTGGCAATTGATTTTATGGATTACTGCCGGCGTGAAATGACCAACATTAGCTTCTCTTTTGCTTGCTGAGTTAATTAGCTTCGCTAATGTGACTAACGCGTACAGTTCGCAGGAGAGCATTCTGACTTGGAGGAAGGAAGGAAGGAAGGAAGGAAACTGAGAAGCAGGATCAGTGCGCACCGCAGCTTATGCAAAGCTAGCACACTTTTTGGACTCCCGGGTTTACACTGTGACGCATTTAGAAAGGTTGACTAGGCACCTTGTGTTATATTTAATATTGTTAGGTTCATATGATATGTTGATAGCTGGCATAGCTAGCTGTCAACAACAACAGTCCTCCCGGCTAGTGGACAAGAGCTAGCACGCTAGCCACAAACCTCTAAAGGGGTTGAACAGCTCCAATTGAGCTGTTTGAGTGATAGCTAAGTTAGCAAACGGGTATTTTAAACGTTTCCTTGTCGGACTCTGATCCGATCTAACGCGAGGGCGACAGGAGAAACTGATGGCATCGGATGAGGTCGAGAGCGAAGCGGCGGTGAAGGGTGTGAGTGATATGAATGTGAATAACAGAAGTCCAGATTTTGTCACACCCAGGAGGGCTCACGAGGAGCTGAGGAACAGAAAGATATCTATTCCCTCGTCTTCTGGAGTGTCAGGAAAAGGTGACGAGGAGGAATTAACACTAGACAAATCCCAACATAGAACAGCTTCTAAAGTTGAAAATGACGAAGAGGCACTTCAAGAAAGTTTAACCAAAACAAGAGGCATGCCACAGGAAAAGACAACCCCGGACAATGAGCAGCAACAGCAGCTGCCTGGAGCACAAATCTCTACCCCAGTGAGCCTGCACCAGCCACGCTCACCATCAGAACCAAGTGGAAGGTCTGTGTGTGCATTTTCATGCATGGCCTACATGTCGGCAGTTATTCGCTATTGTCTTTAACAGAGCTAATTTCTTAGTTCTTGAAGTGAAGAGCTTCTTATATGGGAAAAAGTTAACTTATCAGTGGTGTCGGAATGCTAACTGGACCCCACACAGGCACTTAAAGACTTTTCAGCAAATTTACAGACATGTTTTTGAACTTAATGCTTAGCCTATAAAGGGCCATAATAGCAAAAGAGGACAGCATATCCTTTCTAGGCTTTTTGATGTCCCTGTAATTTCACTCTGGAAAGCTGCAAGCTGAGGCTGGGAGGACACTTACTTCCTGAACATAGGTCTTCATTACAGGAATACATGTACAATCTCCTGTTATCTTGTCCAGCCGCAGACAACCTACTAGAATCATGCTACAGATGAGAAAATACCAATAAGTTAAATCATAATTTCTCTGCCAAAACATTACTCTGCTATAATAGAGATGTATTATATTGCAGGACTAGTAAATAGACTGCAATCTCTCTGACCTTTGTCATTGTTTCAAACCTCTGAAGGCAACATCTGTTGGCATATCAGCAATGTCACATAGGTGGAGCATTGCATGACTGACTTTATCCAGCTTACTTAGAAGATGACTAATCATTCTTTGTCTGTACTGGCAAATAAGAATGGGTTGTTTGGTACAATTATACATCACTGTAGGTGCACGGTTGTTACACTAGACATCACTATATAAAAAGTGTAACACCTGGAGAGCAACACCAATTCACAAATACAGTATGATTTACCGCGTGAAGATGACATTTCATTATGTTATCTGAAAAAGCCCGCTCTGGTGATCAGTATTTGAAAGGGTCCTTTTCCGGGAGGCCACACTCTCGTTTCTCCTTTATGTCTTTCATTTGGATTTCAAATGCAGTGTAAGTGTTGTACATGAGCAAACAGCTGAACTGATATGCTATGAAACATTGAGAACCAAATGTGCAGAGTGTTTTTCTCTGGGACCACTAATACAGTCAGGTTTGCAAGTAACGCCTCAAAGGAAGCTCTGTACGGCAGAGTTACTACCATGATCAGCATTAGTGAGTAGCTTTATGGTTTATAAGCTAAGCCCCTTAGCACAAGCTTGTATGCTTTTCAAGAAGCAAGTGATCTTATTATGTGGCCAGTTGCAAGCCTAAACTCTTGAGGAGACCTGATGAACATGGAGGGATTATAGCACTGCAACACAAAGCATCTGTTGAGTAGCTGATACAACAAAGGTTGCTCCTGTGGTTTTCTTCTCATATGAAAGTATTTGGTTTGTTGAGAAAAAGCAATATGCCCATGTTACCTGTGGTTGTTAAATACCACATACTGCTCTCTAAAAAACCCAGCGCCCCCTCCTCCCATTTTAACCTAGTGCTTTTTCACATGAAGTCCTTCTTGGAAAAAATGTGACCTTTTAAAATAAAAATTCTACTGAACATGGTCATCTGTCATGTCATGCGCAGTGTGAGTAAAATCTTACATAACACAATTGATTTTGGGTGTTAACTGATACAGGCTGCCAATGAAATGAGCCGCTTTATATGGCCAAACTTTCAATTTTTAATCTGTATTCTCTTTACCAATGACTGTTAAAACAACTATTGTTACTCATCTATAGGTGAATCAGATTAAAGTAGTGAATTTAGAAGAATTAGATTAGCTAGATCACAGGGAAGTAAACCTTGCACTTCTGTAAGGTCTAAATAAATTGTAGGATGAGAGAGCTTTAAGAACGAAATTTTCTGCTTTTGTTTTTGCTTTAGAATTTTTGTTCATCAGCTCCGTAAAATCAGGAAAAAAAAACCTTCTCATCTCATTTGGATCTTTCTCCAGTATTGTGCAGCATTTTTAATATAAAGATAAATAGATGCAGAGTTCATTATTGTGTGCTTTTGTGCAGCTTTAGTTAACTGTGCCTAGTATCTTTTAATATTCCAACATTGTCAGTGTCCATCCAGGAACGCCATAAAGGTTTGTGTTGCCGAGGTATTAAGAACAAAAATGTCCTTTGACTCAGGGCAGATCAATAGAACTCCCATAATCCTTTGAGGACTGTACCAGTCACAGGCAATTGTTGACAGATTAACAGTTATGTGTTTGTATTTTGTTTGTTATGGGTCATTTTTGCCAACCCTGCTCTTGATCTCAGTGTGTTCATAGATCAAGAGGGCCTTTTAGCAGTTAGAGATTAAACATAAAAGTTGGCATAACCTTTTTGTTTTTCTTTCCCAGCCTGGAGCGTCAAGAGTCAGTCGCCACAACAGAAGCCCGCCTAAGAATGGAGGGAGTTGAACTTAAAGAAGAGTGGCAGGATGAGGACTTTCCAGGGTGTTGTATCAATCCCTCAGAATGTCGTAAATCATGGTTCACAGCTTTGTATCAGGTCTGTGGTTTGAAAGTCACATGACCTGTAGACTTACTAAAGGCAAGTCCTCTCCTGTTTGATTTTTAGGCCCCTGCCAGAGGAAGAAGAGCTTGAAGATGAGCTTTTTGCTGGGACTTCTGAACAGAGAGACACTGGTAATGAAAACAGAATAGTACACAGTGCTTTGCTAGAGAGACCCAGGAGAATATTAGGGACATGTTTAGATTTTCAAGTCTATCTTAAAACTCGCATACCCATATTTAAGATAAGCGAGGTATTGGTCGCTGTAATCATTCATGTTCTTTCTTGTTTATGCAAAAATGTATTCCGAAGTGCAGCTGAAACTAATATTAGGCCTCAGCAGTCAGATTTAGTCAAATAAAAAGGGCATCTTTCAGAATAATCCTTTTAGAGCCAAATCCTCTCAGTGTTTTCTTTACTTACATATCTGCATTCCAGGGAGTGTAGCACAAAGAGCAAATTATTTAGTAAATGTATGAAACATTTGAAGCACACTAGGAAAAGATCTCTGCTCTGTATGTGAGTGTTTTGTTATAATAGACTTAAAAAATCTGAATGTATCTTGTTAGTTTTTATTCCAAAGAGTATAGTGACTAATTTTTTTTTATCTACCAAAGGCTATGCCATTAACCATGACAAGAAGGCAAAGAAAAAGCTTGCAGCTCCGGACATCAGTCTTACGCTTGACCGCAGTGAAGGTTCTCTTCTCTCTGAGGAGCTGGATGACAGTACAGAGCTGGACCTCGATGACATTGACACGCCCTCGGACAACAGCAACGAGTTTGAATGGGAAGGTGAGCGACTCATATCATTATATCATGCAGCATCTGTGGTAAAGGTTTTAATATTTTTATAGCATCGTTGAACCCTGTTTTGTTCTGGTTTGTCTTGCTAATACCTACTGTTCACTTAGATGGACTTGATTAAGTGGGGCTGGAAAAGTACTTTCAAAGTGGACTTCCAGAAGTGGTGTCATTTATTTTATTCTTCTTGGATTTATTCACTGGCTTGTTTGTTACAAGCCAGTGTGGTATCAAATTAGTCTTTCATTTCCTGGTTTTCAGATCCATTGTTACTTTCCTCTTTTATTTTCCAGGTTTGGGTAAAGTGTAGTTGAAATAAGCTTTGTTGTTCTTGTGTTTCCACACTGCTGCCTTCCTCTTTTTCACTTGGAAGAATTGTTTCCACTCTCTGCCTGGAAACAGGCTTCAGGCCAGCAACAGGTTTCTCTCTTCCTTGTGGTAAGGTCTCTTGGACAGCCCCTGTTTTTTTTTTTTCTGCAAGCCATGAGTCAAATCAAACCTTTCTGTCCAGATTATGTTCCATCTTCAGTTGTTTAAACAAATCATGGGGTGTTTCATCTTTCATACCTTTTTGTTTTCAATAGTTTTTATGCACGTTATTTTTATCTTTACCTGAATGTGTTGTGTGTTTGAATCAGTCAGTAGCAAAAGTGGTTTAAAAACCTCTGTAAAGGTGCTGTTATCAGAAACGGGCCTCTCTTAGAAAGATTTTCAAAATGTATGTCGGTGTGATTTCGGTTGCACTATTCCCTTATTTTCAGTTCTCCTTTTTTGCATGCTTGACATACATACATGATCATTTAAAGACTTTGCTTGATAATTGCATGATGTGCAGAATTAGACATTGTGCACATACATCCTACAACAGATGTGCAGAATTCTTCCAGTATTTCAGCAGCAATGTGATGCTGTGAATGTTTGATTGATGCATTTAATTCTGTTCATTATACACGAAAGACTTCCACAGTACAGTATAATCGCCTCCCCCAGGAAATGTGAGATTCCCCCCCAAGAAAAACGCTTAACACTGTAAGGGAACAGGAGACACAGAAGTTGAGATGTGATTGTTGGTGCTGATTCCAAGCAAAAAATGTAAGACGGCAAAAAATAAAGCATGTGATTGGAAAATAACATAAATGGTGAATAATTGATGCGGACATTTTATAAATTATTTAATCAAAGTAGATCTGATTTGATAAAATTAGGCACCTGTCACATCCAGCAGCTGTGGTTTTAAAATGCCTCTTCGCCTTTAGATGATCTCCCGAAGCCGAAAAGCACAGAGCTACTACAGAAAGGTGTACGGTCGGTTCAGGAGTACTCGGCCTCGGAGGAGAGGGAGGAGGGTCGCCGCTGGAGGGTGTTTCGTATTGGAGACCAGGAACACAGAGTGGACATGAAGGCCATTGAACCTTACAAGAGGGTTATCAGCCATGGAGGTCAGTGGCATTCCACACACACAAAAATACAGGCATTTTAAGTATATCTATATTGTTTTTAATTAACAGGATGAATAAGCTGTTTGACATGAACTTAAAGTTAAAAGCTATAAGCAAAAAGTATGATAATACAGTGTTGAGAAAATCAATTCCTGATACTTAATTTATCACTGCAGGTTACTATGGAGATGGTTTGAATGCCATAATTGTGTTTGCTGTGTGTTTTATGCCTGAGAGCAATCAACCAAATTACAGATACATCATGGACAATTTATTCAAGTGAGTATTTGTTTGAATTCCTTTGGCCTTGTGAGCAAACATTTTCTAGGCATCTCTAAAGGCATTTTCTACTCACAGGTACGTCATTGGCACACTGGAGCTTTTGGTCGCGGAGAACTATATGATTGTGTATCTGAATGGAGCGACCTCTCGGAAAAAGATGCCAACTGTTGGCTGGCTCAGAAAGTGCTATCAGCAGATTGATAGGAGGTGAGTCTGAATGGTCACGGCACTAAAAACAACTAGTGTTGTTGTTTTTTTTATGTGGTTTTCCATTGTATGAACCCAAATGCTAAGAAGAGGCATAATCCTATAGTACAGTATGTGTGGTGTGATTAAATTGTTGATCATGCCACTATTTTTTCTGTACAGGTTAAGGAAGAACTTGAAGTCTCTGATAATCGTCCATCCTTCTTGGTTTATTCGCACCCTTCTGGCACTCACAAAACCTTTCATAAGGTGACTGTTATGTTTAACATCAAGATCTTTTGGGTAATGTTTCGAGTCTGACATTTTTCTTCTTTTCACAGCTCCAAATTTAGTCAGAAAATCAAGTATGTGTACAGCTTGTCAAACCTGGCAGAACTGGTTCCCATGGAATATGTGTCCATACCAGATTGTATTAAACAGTAAGTATGCTTCACTCTAACACATTCATACTTTTCAAGAAATAAAGTTGTCATAAGCGTATATTAAATTTATACTTAATACACAATGTATGGTATTTAAAATGCAAATATGCAGTAAGTTATGTATACTATCACAGAAACATACTGTTTTGAAATATCTTTGTGTCTGTCTGTTGTACAATCATGTCAAGAGTAGTTTTTTTTCATTATGAAGTTAGCCTAGTGATTATAGATTTTATAACTACAAACCATTCTGCAGTGGTATATGCATGGTAGTGCGTACTTGGCTGCTCACTTGAATTACTAGATTAACAAACCGTCACTATGGTACAAATAGTTCAACCTTGCACCAAATGTTTTACAAAACATAGTTAAATGATGGCCCCTAGAAAAGTTATATTGTTGTGCCTTGCTGTTTTCATTAATTGGTCACCAAATTCTAGTAGGTGTGGCTGTCAATTTGACGTGAACTGCCATTGCTTTGTAATGTTTTGTACCCGTACAATATCAACTGTGACTGAGGCTGCGAGCTTTTATTCCATGTCGCCTACAGGTGGTGCCACAGCAACACTCCTGCTGTGTGGCAAGTGTAGACAAGATGTCAGTGTCCATGTGTCTACCTTGAAATTTCGCATAGTTCTTAATAGTTCAAAGCCATAATATTTGCAGGCAGGTTTAGATATTTCACAGAATCATGGACAGTGTCTGGGGTAGTGTCCTAAAGATACAGAGGAGATCTAGGTGCAGGCTGCAAAAATGCAAATGTCTTTATTTTGTAAATAATATGCTAAGTGCACAGCATAGCCTTGATGGATGGTGTGTATTCTCCAGAATGTGTCAGCATTACTGAGAAGCATTGCATCCAGGTAATATTGTTCTATAAACTGCTACTAAAAGAGACATTCTTTATTTTCTAGTGTAGCCTTTGCTGATATGTGTTACAGCGAACCATATATAGAGATATATATGTGCTAGTTTGGACTCAGAAAAAGGCAGGACTCGGACTCAGGCTTGACCAGGTAAATGTATTTTAATAACTGCAGAAATGAGAAGCGGTCAGAGCCGGTCTCTTCAGCCGATCTCAGGGCAGTGGGGAGTGCTGGGTTGACTGGACTGCTACAGATATAACCCGAGGTTGTAGGAGAGGCGCAGCTGGCTGAAGAAGAGCAGAGGAGGAGAATGAGTAACAGGGATGCTAAGGTAATGGCAATACTGATAGTTGTACTGAGGACCTGAGTAGCAGAATTTACTAGGCAGGTGAGCACTGTAGGCATAGAACACAGTCCAGGGGAGGTGTATGAGCTGGCACAGAAGATCACTGGTCCGGTGAGCAGTACTCCCGTAGTGGAAGGTGAGGATCGGGCTCACAGCAGATGGCAGGGCAGGTAGTAAGATGGTGTGAGGAAGGCTGACAGTTGGGTTCCAGAGCCATGCCACAAGTCCCAGCAAGAGATGGTCTCCTCGTCCTGAGGAGTGTCACCTGAAGAAACAGTTCACAGTCCAGGCACCAAATGGTGCTGATACAAAAATGGCTGAAACCAACAAGCAGAGGGTACTCTGTTCTTTAATACAAGTCCACAGCAAAACAGTTCAAACAGGAAGTGACCCTTCAAAAATAAGAAGCATTCAGTTCGTTACTACCTGAAATCAAGTCCACCAACATAGAAACAGTTCATACACAGGGAATCCTAGTAGTGAGAGCAAAGACAGGTTACCGGCAGGATTACAAGAGATCATCTGGCAACGAGGACACACCAACGCTCCCCTTAAGTACTAGTCCAATAATTGAGAGCAGGTGTGCCTCGCTGCCTAGAATGCATTCCCACCTGTGTGGGGGCGCGACCTACTGTGACAGCCCGTGCCAGCTGATGAGGTGCTGGGGGTGGTCAGGGCCACGGACGTAACAATATGTATAACTATTGAGCTCATGCTGAGAAGTGTCTTGAAATGTGCAGTATTTTTCCTTGGTGTGCCTTAACTTGAGGCCAATTTTGTATTCTTGTGGCATTTGAAACTGCTTCAGCACAAATTACATAAAATGTTTTTGCTCTTTTGGATCTTTGTTGCTGTGTATTTCTCACTTCCCTACCTCCATTTCCCTCCCTCCTTCTGAAGGTTTGACAAGGAAAAATTTAGGAAAAGCCACAAAAGGTATATGCATGCAGGATCAGTAAGAGCATTTTACAGAACTAACTTATTTGTTTATTGTTCGATGGCTTGGTGGTTGTTTAACCAACTAAATGCTCTTTATAAGTCAATTCTGTGTGTTTTTTTTTTTTTAGTTATTACCTGAAAACCACATCAGCTACAGATGGGTGACAAATTACCAGATGCTGCCAGAGCAGCTTCAGTGCACCTTGACAATGATTCTACCAGTCTCTGAACTCTACTGGACACCCTACCAAAAGATATTCCCTTATTTGGTGTTTTTATGATGGTGGTGGAGACTCTGTCTAACACAAGTCATTTTCAAATGTCACACAGCATCAGGTCCAGACATTGTCCAGAGTTGCCCTTTCACGCATATACAGTACCACACAACGGGTGATAGTCCATGTCAGATTTGTTCTCACGTCCTGGAAATGCTCAGTGTGGTTCTGCTGGGAGTGGTTCCAGGGTAGAATGTGCAGAATGCGATCCCGACCTGGTTTGTAATTTGCTGTTCCTTGAATTTGTCTGACATTTGTGGTGTCTGCCCTAAACAACTGAAGTTCCTGAATCTCCTTGTATCACCAGTTAGACATTTTCGTCATTTTAAATGACCATTCTTCTTCACTATCTGGTGTCTGTGTTGTTAAGGTTTCGCACCAGTCACGTGATAGAACATCATCAACACACCCACTAGCTCGGTGTGAATAACTTTCACTTGGACATTACACGGACTTTGAGCTAGGGAGGAGAGGGGTAGAGTAGGTTTAATGTCTGGGCCAACTGACTCTGGGTAATGTCTAGATAATTTCAGGGTTGTCTGAAAAGGACTATAATAGGTGTTCAGTTGGGGTGAGATCTGGTGACGATCTGGAAGCCATAGCATCACTCCCACCATTTTCATATTCATCAAACCATTCAGTGACCCCTCATACCCAGTAGGTGGAGGCTTCCTCATCCTGGCTGAGATTCATGTTTATTTAGAATTTTTCTTTAATTTGTCACCTGCCTGTAGCTCTGTGATTTAAAACATACCATCTACCTCCGTAAGGCTGACTTGTTTTTTTTACCAAGTTACTGGTACCAAGACATATTTTCTCCACTATTATTCTGACTCAAGAGTTATAAATTAGTGTCAAGACATCAGGTTATTGGATTGCTGTTTTCTGATGTGAAAGTTGGGGCATCAAGTAGCGTTCACACGTGTCTTAAAAACCAAGTTTTAGAATTTGATGTGATGATGATTGGTAAGTCTGTTCATGTTTGCACAACTGAATCAGGTTGAATGACAAGGAAGTAGTTTGACCTAGTCACTGTGGTCTGTGGTTGTACTGTAATTATGTCCTCACATGGTTCCCCTCAGTAACTCGCCCTCACTAGATATCCAGCTTGTTGACTCTCACATCTTTTTGCATGAGTCACTGCAAACCCACTCCCTGCTTACAGTTAGTAACTGCCTCAAAGTTTTATCAGTCTTGGTCACACACAGAGAAATGCACTGCTCATTACTGATGTATAGTGAATGTTCAAGTGTTGAGGTTATTAATGTGCAGATATGTTGTGGGATATTAGAACATTAGAAAAATATAATATCTGTGCTATTTCAGAGAGTCCACAGGGTTGCAGATGAGACTTGGTGTTCCGTGTTTCCTCAGGGTACAAAATACTGTGATAATTGTACTTTTTGAGAATATTAACAAATATGAAACACTATATTACATTGTCACACTTTTGCTTATTACATTGAATATTGTATCAGCTGTGGCTTTGTGCAGCATCCTGCAGTTTGTGCACCAACATGGACATACTGTATGTCTCTTGCACTACATACTGAAGTACACATTAGTGTGGGGTCAAGGAAATTGCTTGTAAAGCAGCTGGTAAGGTACTTGACATACTGCTGGCCAGGTTGTGAATTTTCAACCAGATACTGTAAATATATACTGTAAATCTGCTATTAATCTTGTTCTGAAAAGTAACTAAAGTAATAAAATAAATGTTGTGAAGTAAAAAGTTCAATATTTGCCTCTAAAATATAGTGAAATCAAAGTATGACGTAGCACAAAATAAAAATACTCAAGTACAGATACATCATAATTGTACTTAAGTACAGTACTTGAGAAAATGTACTCACTTGCTTTCCACCACTGGTGGGTAGTGTAGCAGTCTGTGACCAGTTTGATGATCAGTTACTCTAGCCACCTAGCAGTCACACAGATGTCTGAGGTGTTTGTTTGTCGTGTCTCATTGCTTGTCTTTCCTTTTGTCTCTCCTCTATCCACTCACCTCAACCAGTCGGGGTCAGAGGACCGCCCACCAGGAGCCGAGGTCTGTCGGAGGTTTCTTCCATTAAACGGAGGTTATCCTCCCCGCTGTTGCCAAGTGCTTGCTCAAGGGGGATTTGTTGGGTTTTTCCTCTATAATAAT